AGGGCTCCATGATTTCCCATTGCTAAACTCCTGACAGACACTGGGGGTGGGAGATGGGCAGAGAGGGCTTGCCTGGGATGCCTCCAAAGCTGAGGCATCATTTTGAGTCTCTCTTTTCATTAGCAGGTCTGGGCAAAATTTTTGCAGGGGATGCATGATGACTAATATGGGGTAACTGCAAGATTTTGCTTGCAGGACAGAGGCTTTGAACAACTCAAGGCTGGACATGATGATCATGCCCTCCCTGTAGTCCTGCTCTCAGTTGGCATTTAGCCAATTTATTCTCAGGGGTTGACCAGACCTCCACAAGCAATTTTAACTCTTGTGACTTCACTTGGAAGGTCCTCTAATGAAACTTCCAACGAGCATATTCTGGAACATTTTGATCAGGGGTCAGTGAACTCTTTGGTAAAGAGCCAGACAGTAAATATTTTAGGCTTTGTGGGCCACATGTAGTCAGTTGCCATGACTCAGCTTTGCCATTGTAGTACAAAAACAGCCATGGATAATATGAAAAGGAAGGGGCATGGTCGTGTTACAATAAGCCTTTATTTATGGACACAAATTTGGAGTTCATGTAATTTGCACCTATCGTGAAATATTATTCTTTTTCTTTACACTATTCCAAACTACAGAAATCCTTCCTAACCTGTGAGCCACTGAAAAACCGGTGGCAGGCCAGATTTGGTCTGCGGGTGTCACTGGGGAAAGGGTTCTGTCTCCAGGACAGCTCAGGGAACACTCACTGTGTTGCTATAGTAAAACTACACAGAACACTATGAAATCTGGCTAATCCGACAAGCTAGATGGCAAAAGTTTATCACACAATTACCACCCAAATTTGATCTGTCTGTGTGAGTTTGTATAAGGCAATCCTTTCCATCGAAGGATCTCAGAGTGCATTTCATTTGTCCTATGGTCAGAGGAATATTCCTAGGTAGCATACTCATATGGTAGAACCATATGCTGGGGGTGTTTCATCTTTGAGTAACTCTGTTACAAACTAAATCATAGCTTCATACATTCATTTCCCCCAGTGATTATTCATGTTGAACAAAAATTCACACAACCACATGAGAGGAAATTATGCAGCAGATCAAAGAGTTGGTTAGGAATGCCATGTTGTGTTCTTTCCTGGATGTGAACTGGCTACAGGACCACTTTCCATTTTATAGGTTGCATCTGCAACAAAAGGGTCTGCTGCTTTCAATCTATTTGAAGGAAACAGCATATCAATTTGCTGAAATGTAGCGCTTTTGATCAAAGGAGACCCAGAGCAGGCTCCCACATGCTCCCTCTCTCTCATCCTCTCTGACATCCGCTCAGCTTCTAGGAGATACACATGACAATAATAAGTGAGTCGTGGTTACTGTTTTCCCTGAAATGTTACAACATCATTTTGGTGAGAAAAGCACTCTTCCTTGCTTGCCATGCAAATATTTTCTTTAGGGGGTTTTTCTCATAATGGGAGAGATCTTCATTTGAGAGTGTCTATTGGGGCATCTTGGCTGATGCTCTGCTTTCGTTATAGCTTCTAAATATACCCACATAATCACAACAGCCCGGGGTGGGAGGGTCAATAAGCTCCTTAGTATCTCCTTGCTATGATCCTGCCCCACAGTAAGGCCGTGACTTACCTGAAAGTGTAATTTCCACCGAGCATAAAAATAATCTGTCCTTATTTTTTTTCCACTTTAAGATTTCTCAACTTGTGTTGAAACACGCTGCTTTCATTTCCCTGGAGGGGAATAATTTTCCTTTGGCAAAACTCTTAGGTCAAGCTCATGTGTATTTTGGAATGGACCAAAAGCTGGGGGGAAAAAAAGAACAGCATCATCTGGAGGGGAAAATCATAGCCCACTAGGAACCAACCTTTCTGGAAAGTATTTCCCAGACTGTACGCTGAGGCCTGCTAGTACCATGGGATGTTATGAAGTGTTCCACAGTTAAATATCTGAAAAACAATTTATATATATCTCCACCATGGAAATTAGTCACAGAGTTCAGAAGATTAGCAACAAAGCAACCTTTTTTAAAAAGCTCAGTGTTCCAGACATTTCTAGGACCTCAAAATCTCCATTTTCCCCTAAGGAACATCTGTCAATATCTTGAGATACTGGTGTCTGTTTGATAGGACAGAAATGTTGGGATACAATGAGTGTTTTTTTTCTTTTTTAAATCTTAAATATGGTGCATATGAACAAGAACTAAAAATAGATATAGCTAGAAGGTAGGTAGTTCAACATTTTAAAAATTAAGTAAGAAAAATGAGACCTCTGTATGGCTGGAAAAGGACAGAACCAATCACCGTAACTCACGTACTGTGAGATTTCAGGTGCCAACACCCATATGAAAGGTGTTACTGGTGTGAAACCATATCCTGTACAGAGACGAAAAGAACAAACAGAACTGGCTAATCGGAAAATACAAAGCAGACCTAGGCATTACCCCTCACGCTTCTCAAAGCTTTTTTAATACCACAATTAAAATACATGGCTAAATAAGAGATTTGAACCATAGGAAATCACAAGTTTTGTAGGTAGGAAATGGTCCCATGTTGGCAATTTCATATAGTTCGCTCTAACAAAAGAATTACATGGAGAAAGGTAGAAGATGATAGTTGTCTAGCATTTTAAAAATTAAACCAGAGAAACTGTGATGATTCAGCTAATTAATCTGATTTCACCAGTGGGAACAAAAAATAAGGAACATTTATTCCAGATGATGGAGTCAACTGTTGAGCAGACATGTTTTTATTTGTAGGAAAAGTCTGGATTTTGTCTTAAGTGTATGTAACACACAGGCGCAATAATTTTTTACCAAAAGCTGAGCTCAGTCTACAAAAGTCTGCTGGTCTTGGTATTTGTTAGAACTGTGTATTTTAGAATCTTCTCTCCTTCAGGGTCAACAAGGGTTAAAGTCATCTAAAATAACCCAACAAATCTTCTCTCCCTTCTGTGAGTGGATCAACATGCCTCAGTTGACATGAGGTGACTATCATGTTGTCTTCCAACAAAGACTGTAGTCAGTATAAATTTACAAATATCTCTCAGGAGCAAACTGCCTAGTATTAAGATTCTTCTAACGTAAATGGGAAATTACACTTGACAGAAAAGAATTTTCAAACAACTCATCCTCTGAGGAGCTACTTTTATCTCCTGCTGCTGTTGTTTTAAATGATTCAAATACAAATGGATGATATTAATACACTGAAAAAATCCCAATGCTCCCACATGTACATTCCATGCAACAAGGCTGGTTTGCAAATCAGCATACCTAGACTTAATGCATCAATCTGTATTTATGATTCTCTTGAGGGAACAGTCATCCACAGTGAATTATTTTTATTGTTAAAAAGTATCTTCAATCTGTGGGTCAGAACATTGCACCACTTTCCTACCCAGCTGCAAGTCATATTCGAGAATCCAAAGGAATGTCCTAAGTTTGTTCCAAAAATGTCCAGATGGGCTCACTCGCATACCACGCCAAAAAACCCCGACGGCCAGGCGTGCACGGTCTGATCAGCCCACCCCGTTCACACTCCACGAGGGGCAGGCATGCTCCTCCTTCCTCCAGCAGGGGCCCCTGCGACACATACATGCACAACTCCTGCAGATCTCAGGGTTACAAAAGTCTTTTCCTTGCAGTCTAGGTAACTGTGCTTCTTTATGTTACCATGAGTTAACTTTCCCACTGAAATTGATTAGCAGTATGTATTGCTGTCAGTTGCAGGGCGTGGCCACTCCAAACTAGTCGGTGCTACCACAGTGGGTTAGAATCACTGCTGTCAAGGAAAAGGAGCTACTTGTCTTAGTCTCTGCTGCCTTACAGGGGGAAGTGTGCAAGTTCCTTTAGGCAAGGGTTGCTAATTTCAGCACTAAGGTCATGTGGGGCTGGATCATCCTTTTGGGCACAGGCCTGTGCTCTGTAGGATGTTTAGCAGCATCCCTGGTCTCTACCCACTAGATGCCAGTAGTGCCAGCCAGATGGGCAAGGAAAAACGTATGCAGACACCGACAATGGGCCCCTTGAGAGCAAATCACCCCCCAGAGAAGCACTGCTTCAGACTTTCTAAAATTCTGAGGATATTTGAGGATGCCTTTGTGTTCTCTTAGGAATTTGCAGCTCAAAGCGGCGCCCTTGGACCAGCAGCATCTGCAACATCTGGAAACCTGTTGGCAACGCAGACTCTCAGGCCCCACCCCTACCTGCACTTTAACAAGACCCACGGTGATGTGATGCACAGCAGAGTCCGAGAAAGCCCTACCCTTTAATATCTTAGGTTGGAATCTATCATTCAGTATCGTCAAAGAAGATGACTCGTTAACTAAAGGTGCTAAATATAGGCTGATGAGCCAGAATCACTTATTATTCAACAGCTGATTTCTTCCCTTTTGTTTTTGGCCCCATACGTGCTTTTTCAAAATTGTTCTCTTATACAGCGACACCCAGAGTGGTGGGAATTGGGCACTTGCTCTTAAGCCCCACTTTCTCACAGGGACCACGCTCTGTCAGTCAACCCAATATACTTCCTGCCGGGCTCATTCAATGCAGCCCCAACAAGTAGTCAACCCCCACCAACTCAAGGATACCGTTCTCAGGTAGTCTGACAGTAATTTTAAAGGCACATGAGTTTAAGATAATTGATGATCCAGGATCTGCATTTTCAACAAGGGCAGTATCCCCCCCACCCAATACGATGAAAATGGGTTCTTGACGGGCAAAAGGAAACCTTACTCTTCTTACATAAAAAGCACAAAAAGACACCCAGTCCATAAACATACAGGTGGTGTATTTGAGGTATTAAGATTTCATAGGGAAGCAATTTGGAAAAAAATATCTAAAATGTCTTCTTTGGGGAGAAAATGTCTAAAAAGCAATAACAAAATAAGATGTTGAGAAACAATGATTAAAAAAAATAGTCTCTTGAAAGATAAAGTCATCTAAGACCCTGATGCACCCTTGGGTAAAGCTCACGAGTCCTGTGTTTGTGTCAGCAGACAGAAACACATAAGCAGGAGTGGGAGAGAGGCCCGTCCGGAGCTCTGAGTCCCAGCCTGGTCACCTCCCCACTACAGGAGGTCCCCCTCTCCCTCAAAGCCTCAATTCCTCACCGCCATGTACCTTGTCGTGAGGATGAGACGCAGGGACTACTGAAGGCATTCAACGTGACCTGGCATAAGGTAACTTCAAGGGCAAGGTTAACTTTCTCCTTTCCTCTTAAACATCCTCTCTAGCCGCATGATTTTGCAACTTTGTAAAAAATATAATTGACCTACAATGCTTTGTTCAGTTGCAGATACACAGCAAAGTGACTCAGTTAGGAGCCCTACTCTTTAATACCCTAGGTTGGAATCTATCATCTAGTATTTTATATATATATATACACATATATATAATTATTATTTTCCATAACAGGCTATTACAAGATACTGAATATAATTCCACACACTATACAGTAAAGCCTTGCTTATTTTATGTGAGGACTTTCAAAATGTCATTAATTTTGAGGGTTTTTTGGCAAATGAATCTATTCCTGGTTTGGATTCTGCATAAATCATAAACAGGACTTTAGTACATCCTATTATAGAGCATTTTCACTCCCCAAATACTGTATTCAACAGGGTGAAGTGAGATGTAAGGTTTAGTGCTATAATGCCGCACAGGTGGTCCTAAAAATATCCTTCTTTACAAAAATGCACAATAAAAAAGCGTATGTCTTATGGAGAAAAATGAGGTTCAGGACAAGATACTCAAAAACTTCATCAGTGCCACACATAAAAAAGAAACCTAATACAATGGTAACATTTTATATAAGTGAAATTATTAAGAAATATATAAATCTATCAATATTGTCCTTCCCCTTGAAGGAAGACCTGAAGGGTGATTCGGGGTGGCTGACAGGCACTACAGCTTATGAGTTACTGTGAAGAGGGTGACCTCACACTGGGGGCAGGGGGCACTGCACCCCAGGTTGGGGGGATGCACCTCCTAAGGTGGGTCAGCTCGGAGATGCAGGAGGTGTGAGAGCTGGTGTGTTCTGTGTGTTCTGACTCTGCTCAGCTCAGTTGGGTGTAGTACTCTGCTTTCACCGAATGTTTCATGAGGAGAAACTGGCACGTAAGCAAATGTGAAATTCCCATTAAGCTCATGCAGCTCCCTACTGTATCAATTCCATCGGAACACGTGTATGATTTCAAAACGGAGCTAGGACAGAACTGATTGTATTAAGCCAGACGGCTTCATTTTTTCATCTTGGGTGTTCTGCAAAAAAGAAACACTCGTTTTTCTGATGGATGTTTTAGTTCAGAATCAGATCCATCAGCTGTAGTCTTAAGTCTCGAGACATGTCTAGCCCATGCTGCCATACAACAACGCTTTCAAGGAACTGCATTTCATTCCATTCCTGAGTTGCCGCAGAGTTCAAGAATTCACAAAAGTAACACAAAGTGATGAATACAGGAGGGGATTCGAGACTCAGAGAGGGGTCTACATGCAAACCCCTGTCTGCCTTGCAATGTCCCTTCACCTCTCTGAGCCCCAATACCAAATCTCTCAACTCAGGTTGCTCTGAGGAAGAGATGAGATAATACATGTTGAAATTACCTGGGCCAGTGCTTGAAAAATATCAGCTGAATGTAAATCTGGACACGGATTAACTGATAATCATGAAGAAAGCTTAACTTTGTCCCTCTACGAAGTAAGGAGCACTGTATCAAAAACATTCTTTATTTTACTGCCTTGGCATAAAACGGTCATTGAGGTGGCTATAAAAATGCAGAGAAAATAGAAAATAAACATGTGAAAGACTAAGGCAGTTTACAGACACAGGAAGACATAGGGGAAAGCCGTCACCTCTACCAACCCAGAGAGAATTTCATTTCCTCCTTGAGGGTTTTATTAGCTTTTGTTTCCCTGGTCTCTTGTCTCACAGTCTGGAATGTCCCACTTCCTTGTCTAAAAAAGAAGGTTCAATCTCCTTAGTCTACAAAAATTACTCTTGCTCAATCCATTCCTCCTGTCGGAGTGTTGGAAGGAACTTTAGAGTCATGTGATATGGTTTCATTCTTCCCCAAGACCTGCCAGGAACGAAGAGCTCTTGTTCCCAAAGCCCAGCCAGTCAGACAAGGTCATGCTGCCAAATCCCAAGAGTTCTCTTGTTTGTTTTAGGGACTCCACATTCAAATCTACTTCAACAGAGAACACGCATGTGAACCTGAAGATGGACAAAGACTGCAAGAATGGAGCTGTGAACTTGGTGAATTTTCCTTCCTGTTACTCTCTGCTCTTAATGCATACATGCTCAGTTACATCTGACGCTTTGTGACCCCATGGACTGTAGCCCACCAGGCTTCTCTGTCCATGGGATTTTCCAGACAAGAATACTGGATTGGGTTTCCTCCTCCAGGGGATCTTTCTGACCCAGGGATCGAACCCAAGTCTCCTGCATCAGCAGAACTCTACCATTGAGTCAAAGGTCCATACAGTCAAAGCTATGGCTTCTCCAAGGGTCATGTATAGATGTGAGAGCTGGGTCATAAAGAAGGCTGAGGACCGAAGAATGGATGCTTTCAAATCGTGGTGCTGGAAAAGTTTCTTGAGAGTTCCCTGAACTGCAAGGAAGTCAAATCAGTCAATCCTAAAGGAAATCAACCCTGAACATTCATTGGAAGGACTGATGCTGAAGCTGAAGCTCCAATACTTTGCCCATCTGATGCAAAGAGCAAACTCATTGGAAAAGACCCTGATGCTGGGAAACAGTGAGGGCAAGAGAAGGGGGCGACAGAGGATGACTTGGTTGGATGGCATCATTGACTGAATGTACATGAATTTCAGCAAACTCCAGGAAACAGTGGAGGACATAGGAGCCTAGCGTGCCATAGTCCATGGGGTCACAGGGTCAGACATGAATTAGTGACTGAACAATAACAACTCTCTGCTCAACATGGTCCTGAAACTTAGATCCCAGGGAACTTTCCCAACAAAGAGAGAGATGCTTTGAAGGCTGAAGTTGGCCTGCTGATTTTCTTTCTCATTACATATTAATTAAATTGCCTCCAATGTTAAGTTTTATTTTTAAAGAAGAATTGCTTACCATCACATAGAAGGAAAGGTGACAATACAAGGTTTCCCTAGAAATGTAAACTTCTAGTATCAAGACTCATCATGTGTTGGTCTGAATTCAGAATTCCTATACAATCTTTGGTCTACTAGTGGATAGAGAAAATTAGGAGACTGTGTAATGGGTATGGTTTCCATATTTGGTCCACCGTCAGTGATGCAGAATCTCCTTTAACATCTCTGTGGCAGTAGAAATACAAATAGGATCCTGTTTCCTATCTGACAAGAGGTGCCCTCAAAACCAAGTGGGAAATACTACAGGCCCAAACACAGGAATGTTCCCTCTCTCTTAATTTGTTATTAAGGTGAATCCATAAAGGTGGATTAAATTTATTGGGCATTTGTGTTGATTATCTCACTTGATCATATCTCATTTGATCATGGACAATGGCTTGCCCGTAAAGTGATGTCTCTACACCGTCTCATCTACTCCTTGGGGAGGGTATCACTCCATTTTCAACAAGGTCACGCAAGCACAAAGAGGTTAAGCAGCTTGGCCGAGATCATGGGACAGACAGTGGAAGTCATAGTGCTAACACCTACTCAGTCACAACAGCCCCCACCGAAGGAGCGGCCCAAAGGCCAGCAGAAAATCACTAAGGTGATCAGACCTCTGCCTCCCACCCCAATCGGGGCTAACGAGGCACACTCACAACCAAATGCCAGTCCAATCACAGAGAAGCCTGTCTCTTCTTATCCCAATGGCCTGGACAACCCCAATAACAGTGACTGGTACCCTCCAAGCACTTGAGCTGTGGTACCAAGGGGTGAACTGCAGGAGGCCCACATGACCCGGTTCCAAAGAGAAGGTACTAAAGTTCAGACTCCATCAAGATGGAAGAGGGCTCAAGTAAGAGTACTCTGTTGGCTATGAAGGGCTACATCGATAGTCTAACCCCACCAAGAGATTGTAGAACCATCCCAGGGTTCTCCGGGGCTGGGCAGTAGGTCCTAGAAATGACCACAGCCAGACGAGGATGTCAGGGTCAAAGCTTTATATGTAATCGTATAATGTGTAACTATATGTGCATGTATTTATATGTATGTTCTTTATTAATGCTTCTGAGGATACAGTACACAATGTCAAAGTCATGACGAGTATAATGGTATTTGGAGATTCTTGAAACAACTGCAATGAGAAATGGATACAGGCCAACCTTGGAGATACTGCAGATTTTGTTCCAGACCACAGTGATGAAGCAACCACTGCCAGAAAGCATTACACAAAGTTTCTGGTTTTCCAGTGCATATAAAAGTTTTACACCATACCAGCTTATTAACTGTGCAATGATAGCATTATGCCCTCCCCCAAAAGTACATACCTTCTTTATTAAAAAAAACTGCCGTTGAAAAAAAATGGCACCAACAGACTTGCTTGACACAGGGCTCTCACAATCCTTCATTTTGTCACAACCACAATACCTGGGAAGCGCAATTGAATGAAGTGCAGTAAGAGACAGTGTGCAGGTCTATCCATGACGTCTATTCATGGCAGTCACAGGCTGCTAAAGCGTTGCCCCCACCCATTCGAGAACAGGCGCTCAGTTTCTGTCAGAGGTTAGTGAATACAGGGGTGTATTTTTTTTTCCTACCCCAGTGCCCCCTGAGTTCTTGCCCACAGAGCCCTTGAGAAGCCTTTGCTCTAGATCGGAGCTCGGCAAGGTATGGCACGAATGCCGAAGTTGACCTGCTGCCTGTTCGTGTTAATACAGTTTTATTGGCACAAGGCCACCCCCACTGTAGCAGCACAGGTGGGTCAGTGTGACAGAGCCTGACTACCTGGCTCTTTACAGAAAGAGTCGGCTGAGGCCAGTGCTAGACTCGGCGAGTCTGGGGCCAGCCAGGGCTCAGGTCTGACGCTGGGAGTGACAGAGGGGGCAGCGGGTCCCAAGCAGATGCTCACAGCTTGGCCAGGGGAGCGCCTGAGGCTGCGCCCATCCTCCGGGCCACCTGAACTCTCTGAACCTCGAGGGGGCCAGAGCTCACTGCACAGGAAGGCTGTCTCTGGGCCTGAGAAAGAGCAAGGCCAGAGCAGGCTTCCTGCCAACCAGATCTGCTTCTGCCTTTGAGAAAAGTTAAACTCTGTGATGATCCTCCAAGGACGTGCCATGGCCTTCATAGACCCCCTCTTCCTGCACGCAATCGTGGTTCTATTCAGAGTTGTTTCTTTTCATCCTTTACTGTTTCTTAGACCAAGGAGCTGACGTGGAACTTCAGCTCCTTACTTCTTAAGTAATATGATGATAAAATCACCTTTCAAAGTGGGCCCCCTTGCAGAATGCAAGAACTCACTCATGGGGCTGAGAAACGCAATGATAAATGTATTGCATATGCATAAGCCATCTGGAAAACATGGAAATGAGCGTTTCCAAGAAAGAGTTTTCTAGGCCAGCTAGCCACTCTGCCTCTTTCATGTGGCTCTGGGTCATTACAGTTTTGCACACCAGCCATATACGCGTTTTGTGATAAGAGCACCCCTATGAAATCAATCAAGGTGCTACCTTGCCACCTGCCTTCCCAGTTCTCACTGCTATATACCATGTGGACTTGTTCCTCTCCTGTTGTAATCTTCAAAACCTCTATGTGATCTCGGATAGAAGACTGGGCCTAAGACAGCCATGTCCTCCATTCGTCTAACAGTCGGAATATGACAGAACAACACAAACATCCAAATTCATCTCAAGGTCAAATATTAAGTAATGGCTCAGAATTTTAAAACCAAGGGCCGTGTTGATTCAAGAGTCACTGGTCTCATGCCAATTTCATTTCTGCACCAATCGACTGGCTTCCTGTACAGACTTCATTTCATTGCTTCTCAAATAAAGAAGAGTGATAAATACCTTCCAAACTTGAGAGCGCTCAAATGTAAAGCAAGGGCTTCCTCTTTTGATAATTGGAGCAGCTGCTGTGGCAGAATTGTTTTTCTTCACTCCCTTTCACTGGGGTTTCTCTCCAGCAGCTGCTTTTGTTTCTTGTTCATGGCCCCCTCCCTCCTACTTCCCCTCCCCTAACCAGTGACAAAGTAGGGGGCTGGGGGGGGGATGCTGAAATACAAAGCAGCGCTTGTTAAAAATTTGAGTAAATCTGGGCTAATAGCCAAATTTAATTCTAAAGACCCATTTTGGAGGCTCAGGACTAAAATGGGACCTAGTATAGGTCTGGCTGTTTCTAGGACACCATGTTCCTATTGTAGGGGAGGGGGTGGGGGGGCAAGAGATTTGATTCTTATGGCCACCATGTTTGGAAGATTTGATATGTATTAAAAAATAAACCATTTCTACTACATTTCTCCAAAGATGACATACAGATCACCAACAAACACATGAAAGGATGCTCAACATTGCTCATCATTAGAGAAATGCAAATCAAAACTACAATAAGGTATCATCTCACACCGGTCAGAATGGCCACCATCAAAAAGTCTACAAACAATAAATGCAGGAGAGGGTGTGGAGAAAAGGGAACCCTCTTACACTGTTGGTGGGAACATAAATTGGTACAGGCACTATGGAGAACACTGTGGAGGTTCCTTAAAAATCTAGGAACAGAACTACCATATGACACAATAATTCTACTACTGGCCATACACCCTGAGGAAACCAGAATTGAAAGAGACACATGTATCCCAATGTTCATCGCAGCACTGTTTACAATAGCCAGGACATGGAAGCAACCTAGATGTCCACTGGTAGATGAATGGATAAGGAAGTTGTGGTACATATACACAATGGAATACTGCTCAGTTATAAAAAACAACGCACTTGAGTCAGTCCTAATGAGGTGGACGAACCTAGAACCTACTGTACAGAGTGAAGGAAGTCAGAAAAACAAGTATCGTATATTAACACACATAGGGAATCTAGAAAAATGGTACTGATGAACCTATTGGCAGGGCAGCAATGGAGACACAGACACATAGTGAACAGATTTGTGGACACAGTGGGGGAAGGAGAAAGTGGGATGAGTACACTGAAACACATACATTACCATGTGTAAAACAGACAGCCAGTGGGAGTTGGCTGAATGACACAGGGAGCTCAAATCAGGTGTTCTGTGACAACCTGGAGGGGTGAGATGGGGTAGGAGATGGGAGGGAGGTTCAAGAGGGAGGGGACATATGTATACCTATGGCTGATTCCTGTTGTTGTACGGCACAAACCAGCACAATATCGTAAAGCAATTAGCCTCCAATTAAA